CACCACACACACATACACTCATATATACACACATACACCACACACACGCACACATATATACACCATGCAGACACTCACACACATATACACCACACACACACACACACACACACACACACACACACTTCCCCCAGGGAAATTTGGCGATCGGTCAACTAACATTTAATAAGTAGTTACTATGTGCCAGCCACTGTGATGAGCACTGAGGATACAGAGTAATATTATAATAACAAGTAGTAGTTTTTATCTAGAACCAGTTTTATATCTAGCACTTTAAGTTTTGCAAAATACTTTACAAATATTATCTTATTGTTCCTCACGACAACCCTGGGAAGTAGGTGCTATTATTATCTCTATTTTCAGATGAGGAAATTGAGGCACACAGAGGTTAAGTGACTTGCACAGGGTCACGCAGCTACTAAGCATCTGAGGCTGGATTTGAAATCTTCCTGACTACGTATGCAGAACTGTGCCTAGCTACAAAAACACAGTCCCTGCCCTTAGGGATCTCGTATTCTAACAGAGGAGACAATGTACAAACAGCTATGTACATCCAAGTTATGTACAGAGCAGATGTAGAGTAATCTCAGCAAGGAGTACTAGCAGGGGGCCTGGGGGATTAGGAAAGGCTTCCTGTAGAAGGTGGAATTTGATCCAAATCTTGAAGGAAGCCAGGGAGGTCAGTAGTAGGCCGAGGGGAGAATGGAGAGCACCGCAGGTGTGGGGATACTGTCTATATTAAAATCAGTCTCAGTAAGGTCAGACAACCCCAGCAAACCAGACAAATCCCAAAGACATTCCTATGGGCATAGAGTAGTTCCTAAGAACTCAATTCAACTGAATAATCTTTTCCCCCAATTTTTTTTTTTTTGCCTTTTTGATGAGGCAATCAGGGTTAAGTGACTTGCCCAGGTTCACATAGCTAGTAAGCGTCATGTGTCTGAGGCTGGTTTTGAACTCAGGTCCTCCTGACTCCAACGCCAGAGCTTATCCACTGCACCATCTAGCTGCCCCTAAAAAATTTGGTTTGACATCCCTCCATTTCTTAGTATATCCCCCTACCCAGATATTGCTTCTTGTAAGAAAGAATTTTTTTTAAAAGAGGGAAGAAATCAGTTCTACAAAAATAACCACTGTACCATATCAACTGAGTCTGACAGTATCTGCACTGTTGCCCATAGCACCACTCCCAGCCCTTCACTTCTCTGCAAAGAAGGGGAAGATATCTTTTCTTAGCCCTTCTTCAAAACCAAGCTTGGCCACAATCACTCACTTGTACAAACATTACACTTATGATATGCAAGTCCTAAGCTCAGTGGCTAGATGGACAGACATGACACAGACCCTGTTCTCATGAGCTTATAATCTAATTGTAAAGAGGTAGAGGGAAAAGGCAACAGAAATAGTAAACACAAAATGGAGTAATGGCTAGGGTGCCTAACTTGGTATTAGGAAGACCTGAATTCAAATCCTGCTTCAGATACTTACTAGTTGTGTAACCTTGTGTAAGTCACATAACCTCTCTCAGCCTCAGTTTCTTCATCTATAAAATGGGACTTATAGATAGCATCTACTTCTCAGGGTTGTTGTATGGCTCAAATAAGATAATATATGCAAAATTCTTTAGAAACCCTGAAGTGCTGTAGACATGTTTGCAATTATTGTTGTTGTTAGCAAATAAATATGATACAAGGGAGAGAGAGAGAAGGAGAGGTCTAAGCAAAAAATGAATGAATATTTGGGGAAGGGGAAAATCACTTCCCAAGGGTTGGAGAGGAAAGGGTGAGATCAGGGGGCTTCCTGCAGGGGATGGCATCTTAGCCAGGTCCAATACAGGTATGGGGGAAATGCCTTGAGCAGACACAGAGAAGAGAGAGATTAAGAGTTGATGAAAGGTGATGGGGGGGGTGAGGGGGGCTCATATGGTATAAATTTGGGCCAGGAGGAGGTATGTTACTGAACAAAGGCTTACTGACAGTCTGATGGATGGATGGATGGGTGGATGAGTGTTGTCATTCAGTCGGGGCCAAGGTGGTCCTCCCCTCTAGTCTCAAGAGCAGGTTAGCTCAGGCTGAGGTCCGGCTACCCCCTAGTGGTGGCTGCCCTGCATGGGCAGACCCAGATGGGCAGAATTAGCACGGGTCAGTCCCCTTTTCCCCAGGCTTGTCTGATGGCTCATTTTGCTTCCCCGAATAGGATGAAGTTGAGTTTGGCTACATTGATGCTCCCCACAAGGGCTTTCCTGTGGTCCTAGATTCCCCCCGAGATGGGAACCTGAAAGACTTCCCAGTGAAGGAACTCCTGGTAAGATGCACTGGGACTTCTTCCCTGTGTTTAAAGCTAGGAGGCTCACCATTCAACCACAAGCCAATGGGGAGGCATTGATGGCAAAGAACAGTTGCACTGGGAGACAGAAGCAGCCAGGTGAGGGAGGCAGCTTAGTTGAAAAGGCCCTGGAAGACCTGGTGTAAATTCCAACCTGCTACCTAGCTGCTGTGTGACCTTGGTGAAGTCTGGGTCTCCTTATCTGTAAAATAAAGGAATGCAACTAGATGATGTCCAAAGTCCTTCCCAGCTCTAAGACCTTACGTGATCTCTCAGTCCCTTTCCCTTTATGTGATCAACTGGCCAAGTAGAAGGAACACCTACTAGGCTTGGCATCAGGATGTCCGGGGCCACCACTAACTTACTGTATGACCCTAGGAAATTATTTGACCTCCCTGGGCCTCATCTGTGGCCTCTGTAAAATGAGTATTCGATGTTTTCTAGGGTGCCTTCCAGCTCTGACATTCTATGATCTCTACAGACTTGGTGTTTGAGGCCGGAAAACTGTAAGATGAGGGAAGGACCCACAGGAGATGGGACTTTGGGACTGGTTGGAACAGGGCTGGCCTCCCTTCCAGCTCTAAATCTGTAACCCTATGTCAGAGGTCCTACATTTGAATCCTGTCTCATTCCGGTTGTTCCCCGTGTGACACTGGGCAAGTCACTTCATTTCTCTCAGCCTCGGTTTCCCTATTTGTAAAATGAAAGGTTTGGACTAAACGATATCTAGAGGCCCTTCTTTAGTCAGGTAGATGGCACAGTGGATAGAGCTTTAGGCCCGGAGTCAGGAAGACCTGAGTTCAAATATTGCCTCAGACCCTTACTGGCTGTGTGACCCTGGGCAACTCACTTTACCCCTGTCTGCCTCGATTTCCTCAATTGTAAAATGAAGATAGTAATAGTGCATATCTTGAGTGGCTGTTGCGCAAATCATATGAGGTAATATTTATAAAGCACTTTGCACATAGTAGGCTCTTAAGAAGTGTTTGTTTCCTTCCTAGCTATGTGACTATGGGCAAGTTGCTTCCCTTCTCTAAACTCATTTGCCTCTTCTGTAAAATGGGTATCACCCTCACAGGTAATTTGAAGTGACTTGCCTGAGTTACACCCCTAGTAAGTGTCTGAGGTGGGATTTGAACCCAGACTTTCCTGCCTCTTGGCTCAGCCTTCTCCACCACACCATCCCCTCTCAGGTGTGAGCACCAGCACCCAGCAGCACCAAGAGCCCAGTAGTGATGGAGCCTGGGGACAGGGGGAGGAATTGGGACTTCACAGTTCTCCTCCGTCTCCATTTGTTTCTAGCGTCCTTAGCATGGTCCAAGGCCAAGAGCTCAGGGCTGTCATCGTTGCCAGGTGCTTTGACTTTGTTGGCATTATGCTTCACACCTGGTCCCATCGTTGTAAAACTCCCCAGCTGCCCCAGACACTGGGGGTGGTGGGGCCCCACCTCACCCACGTGGCCAATGAGGATTTTCCAGGCGTGAACGTGCTAAGCTCTAGTTATTTGCACCCCTAGGAGTGACTATTCACGGAGAATTACAACGTGACTGTGAGAAGCCAAATTCCTCCCCACCCCCTTCCCTGCCTTTTGTCATTCGGGTCCCACAATGGCAGAAGGAGCTGGAACTTGGCCTCAGGCCCAATTATGGCCTCGTTTAGATGAGAGATCCCAAGTGCAATCAACACTAGATGGGTAGAATTACAGTAAAGGCAACCTTAGAGATCATAGAATTAGAGCTTTCAATGTTTTCTAGTCTAACCCCCTTCATTTGACAGATGAGGAGACTGAGTTCCCAGTCGAGGGACTTGTCCAAGGTCACATAGACAGCAAGGGGAGAGAGCTAGGATCCAAAACCAGGTTCTTTTACTCCAGATCCAGAATTTAGAACCGAGGCCCAGAAAAGCGACTCGTGGAATTGAGAGCTGGAGTGGACCATAGAGATCATTTAGTGAAATATACCCATTTTACAGATGAAGAAATTAAGGCCCAGAGAGTTTAAGCCACTCACCCAAGAATATGCAAGTAGTAGGTAGCAGAGCTTGGATTTGTGCCCAGGTCTTAGTAGATTACACGCTCAGGTTGAGTCATCAGAATGATTTGGCAGCCAAGAAAGAAAATGCAATCTTATATTTCATTAAGAGCAAATGTCCGGAAGACAGGAGTGGATGGTCCCAATGTTCTCTGCCAGGGTCAGACCACATCAGAATTATTGTATTCAATTCTGGACATCACATTTTAGCAAGGATGTTAATAAGCTGGGGAGTATTCAGCAAAATTAAATCAGCATGGTCAAGGTCCTTGGGTTCATACCATGAGGATCAGTGGAAGGAACTGGGAATGTTTCTGAGAAGAGAAGGATTGGGGTTTCTGGGTAGAAAACACTGACATTTGTGTGAGTCTTGTTCAATCACTTTCAGTTGTGTCTGACCCTATGTGACCCCATTTGGAATTTTATTGGCAGAAATACTGGAGTGGTTGGCCATTTCCTTTTCCAGCTCATTTTACAGATGAGGAAACTGAGGCAAACAGGGCTAAGTGATTTGCTCGGGGTCCGCACATCATGTCTGAGGCCAGATGTGAACTCAGGAAGATGAGTCTTCCTATCTCCAGGCATGGCTCTCTGTGCACTATGGCGCCACCTAGCTGCCCAGGGTGACTCTCACTCTGAGAGCTCCAGAAAGGGAATCCATCAATCAACCAGCATATATTAAGCACATAAGGCTACTGGACCAACAGCACCCCTCCCCTGCCCACCCTTTTCCATTAGACTCACTCAGTCTAACAACTCACAGTAAGAGTGGAGAGCAAAATCTAGATGCTTTCCTCCCCCATCTTGTAGTCTTTTACTCCTCTCACTCCTTTGAGGACCACGGGCATGATGCACTTCTCTCCCCAAGAGGTGGTCTCTGCCCATAAATTCCCCTTCTCTCAATAGAAGGTCAGATTCTAAGACTCTGGAACTTGGGGTTGCTAGAGACGCACCCGCTACGGCAGGTACTAACCAGAAACTCCCCCCTTCTCTGGTACAAGACTGAGTTCTGGGAATCTTCAGTTCTCATAGATGTGCTCTCAAGATGCCTCCAGAAGCTCCTCCTATCATTAGATTATGAGCTGCTTGAGGGCAGGCACGGTCTTGTGCCTTTTTTTATACTCCCAGCACTTAACTGGAGCATAGTAGGTACTTAATAAATGTTTATTGATTGATTAAAGTTAGGGTTCAGGACTTCTCACCACTCAGACCACGCAGTTCTCTCCCCTCACCCCATAGCGGCCACAAGCTTGAAAGCTCTCTTTCATAGGCCATGCAAAGGGGTAGCTCTTCAAACCTGTCCAAGCCAATATTCAACCAGCAGAAGTAAAACTCATTCTGTAAGAGACACCAAGGGGCAGATCTAGACCCCGCAGAGGACGATACAAAATCCTTTACAAAGCCTAACCATTGGGAATGGGACACACTTCCTTGATCAAGGACCCCACCCACCCCACCCACCCCATATTGCTATTTACAGAGCTCAGACAGGAAAGACAGCTTAGACTTTTTCTGCCTGGCCCCAAAGATCAGAACTTGAAGAAATGAATAGAAGTTTCAAAGAATATGCCTCGGGCTCAAAGTAATCAATTAATCCATCAACAAACATTTCTTAAGTGTCTGATAGGCACTATACTAAGCACCGGAGATACAAGGACAAAAATGAAAATTTTCCAAACACTAGAAGTATACGAAAATGGAAGGGGCCATCTTGAGAAATAATGAGTTGCTCTTCACTGGTGGGAGTGATAGGAGAATCGATTTTAAACTGGAAGGGACCTTAAAGACCAATTCCCTAATTTTAGAAATGATGAAACTGAGGCAGACAGAGGTTAAATGACTCATCCAGGGTCACACAGCTAGTAAGTGTCTGAGGCAGGATTCAAATTCAGATTTTCCTGTCTCCAAGTCCAGGGACCCAAAGACTGGTTGCCCACTTGTGAGCTGTGTTGTAAAAGGGATTCCTAGTCTATTAGTGGTTGGCATAGATGGTATCTGAGGTCCCTTCCACATCTGGGATTCTATATCCCTTTTATCCTGACTCTAATTCTAGGGTTCTTTCCACCATTCTATGCTGCCTCGTGATTGTGTGTTTGACCTTGGAATATGGGATGCGTTGAACATTCAAGACTCTTTTGTGTCCTAGACAGAGCCCTTTGGCACTCTCTGGGGAAGCCCATGGACCCCTTCTCAGAAGAATGTTTTGAAATCTATAAAATAAAATACATAGGATACAAAAGAAATCAATTCTGTTGAAATGGTCATCAAATGTTTTTCTTAAAAGTTCACAGACCCCAGGTTAAGAACCCCTGTTATGGACACACACTTAGTGTCACACTCATCCCATCTGTGTCCAAACCCCAAGTCCCTCCCTATACATCCCTTCTATTTGTGGGCTGGGACTCAACTGGACAATGGAGATGAGCAGATCTCGGCAAATCCATCCAGCGTGTAATCGAGAATTGAGTGTTGCACTGAATTGGGCAGACACATGGCCAGGGGAACGGTGAGTGTGCTCAGTAGAGGAGGAATGCTAATGAAGTATGCTCTCCATGCAGGGCCCAGATTTTGGCTATGTCACCCGGGAGCCACTCTTCGAGGCAGTCACCAGCCTGGATTCCTTCGGGAATCTGGAGGTCAGCCCCCCTGTGACGGTGAACGGAAAGGAGTACCCCCTGGGAAGGATCCTCATCGGCAGCAGCTTCCCCCTGTAAGAGAGCCCTTCAGCCGGCAAACCTCCCAGCGGCGCCAGCTTTACACGTAGGCAAAGCGAGTTGTAGCCTACATGACGTGATTCAAGGATCACTGGGGAGGTTCCTCTGACGCACCCCCTAAAATATCTACTGCTGATGCGTGAAATTGCACCATCCATTCCATACACTTTGCCTTCTCTTCCTGGGGGTCTGCACTTTCAACCATTCAGCAAGCATTTATGAAGTACTTACTGTGGGCCAGGCACTGGGGATACAATGAAGAAGCGAAAACAGCCCCTGCTCTCATGGAGCTTATATTCTAAATGAAGATTTCCTAGGATAGGTGCTCCTTATTAGCCCATATAATATACGCTTATATAACATACAATATAACAACATATTATTATCTTATATGAAATATGTTTATATAACACAATACAGGATTATCCCATATAATATATGTTTTTATAATATACCATATAATCATCTATTACTGTCCCATATAATATATGCTTATCGAATATACCATATAATAATATATTATTATTCCATATAATATATGCTTATATAATATGCCACATAACAACATATTATTATGCCATTTAACATATGCTAATATAATAGACCACATCATAATATAGCATTATCCCATTTATAATATATTATATAATAATTATAATATAGAATATGATTCTATAATCTATAATAATATGTTGTTATCCTATATAGTATATGCTTATGTAATATATCATATAATAATATATTATTATCCCAGACATTAGTTAAAGTGACTTGTCTGTGAGGTATTATCCCTCTTTTACATTTTTACAGTTGAGGAAACTGAGGCAAATAGAGATTAGGTGATTTGCCCAAGGTCACACAGCTAGTAACTGTCTGAGACAGGATTCCTGATGCACTCCATCTACTGTGGCACCTAACTGCTTGTAACTCTCTTATTATTAAGATAATTATTAAATCTCTAAATGCCTCATCCCTCTCAAAGCAAAGAAAGGCCCTTAATCTTTGAAATGATATCTGACAAACTTAAGGAAAAAGACCATTCAATATGCCCAAATTGTTCCTGTCGGGTAGTAAAATCACTGGGAAAACATTATGCTGAGAGCTACCCAGCAAGTGTTCCCAAGGGACGATGGAACAAGAATTGATCAGTCTACAAGTATTTACTGCCTGCATCTGGAGTCAGGAAGACATGTTCAGAATCTACCTCAGACATTTGCTAGCTGTATGATCTTAGGCAAGTCACTTTAACTGCTGTCTGCCCCAGTTTCCTCAACTGTAAAATGGGGATAATAAGAGCACCCACCTCCCAGGATTATTGTGAAGATCACAGGAGATAAGGCATCTTGCAAACCTTAAGTGTCACATAAATGCTGACTGTCATTATTAGGTGATTTTTTCCATGCTCACACAAATGATAAGTAACAGAGACAGGGTGTAAAATCAGGTCTTTCTGGCTCCAAATCCAGCCTTCAGTCCTCTACATCAATTGTATCAAACTCAAGGCCTGAACTAGCTAATAAAATGTACTTGGGAAATGTCCAACATAATAAGTGAAAATACAACACAACATAGATAATGTTAAATTGTGGTTTTCCTACGCAATATGCGACTGCAAGTCTGCTAAAGGCCAGGGGCCAGAGCTAAGTATAATTCTGATTTTGAACCCTGCTAGCTGTGTAGCAACATAGCTATTTACTAGTTTGTGTGACCCCAAGCAAGTCACTTGTCTCCTCTAGTCCTCAGTTTCTCCATCTGTAAAATGGGGGACGGCACGTACACATATGACCTACCTCACAGGGTTATTGGGAATAAAGTACTTTATAAACTTTAAAAGCACTCCAGGGTGTCCCAAAAATCTCATTAATTATTATTTAAACTATTGAAGATTAAAATTGACTAAGACTTTAAGGAGGGCAGATAGGTGGTGTAGCGGTGGGCATGGAGTCAGAAAAACAAGAGTTCAAAGCTGGTCTCAGACATTTACTAGCTGTGTGACCCTGGACAAGTCACTTAACCCTGTTTGCCTCAGTTTCCTCTTCTGTAAAATGAGCTGGAGAAGGAAATGGCAAACCACTCCAGTATCTTTGCCAAGAAAACCCCAAATGGGGTCATGAAGAGTCAGACCAGACTAAATAACAAGATTTTTGGGACACCCTGTATGAGCTGTTATCAGATAAGAATTTTCCAGGCTCGCTGAAGGGGAAATGGCAAGGAGGGAAGCCATCCTGAACCCTTTCTCCTCCTTTCTCGACCCTCCCATCCCCAGGTCTGGCGGAAGAAGGATGACAAAGGTGGTGAGAGACTTCCTGCAGGCTCAGGTAGTGCAGGCACCTGTGGAGCTATATTCTGATTGGCTGATCGTTGGCCATGTGGATGAATTTATGACCTTCGTTCCCATCCCGGGCAAAAAAAAGGTGAGCCAGGACAAGAGGCTTAGCAGAGCCCAGGGACCGCCCTGCTGGTCTTTGCCAGCTTAGGACAGTGTCCCCAGGAAGGAAAGGGGAGGGGAGGAAGCAGGAGGTAGACTGGGAGGCTGTGTGTGTTGATGGTAGAAGCTTGGTGAAGCGTGGATGTCTCCATGAACAGGGTCACACCAGCCTGGGAGCAGCAGCACAGTGAGAGGCAGAGGGGTGCGGTAGACAGAGCACTGACCTTACACCCCCCCAAATCTTCCATTTCCGCCTGTGTGACCTTGAGCAGCTTCGCTCCTCTGGGTCTCAGTTTCTTCATCTGGTGAAAGGGGAGGGGAGGGACAACTCTAAGGCCCCTTCCAGCTCTAGGCCTGTGATCCCAAGATTTTAAATTTATACTCAAAAGACCTGGGTTTCCGTCCCAGTTGTAATACTTCCTAACTTCATGACTATGGGTTAAACCACTTAATCCTTTTGAGTCTCAGTTTCCTCATCTGCAAAATGGGAATAATTGTCCACTGCTTACCAAACCAGGATCTTACAAGGAAAGACTTTTATAGCCCTCAAAGCAATATCCATCATGTGAGCTCACATCTTAGATCTAAGGCTGAAAGAAACCTTGGCGACCCAGATGGTCTAACCCCTTCGTTTTTATGGATGAAGAAATCAAGGCCCAGGAGGTGGGCACAAGCTCACAAAGGTCATATGCATCAAGGGTAGGATTCGAACTTAGGTCATCTGCTTCCAGAGCCAGTGTTCTTATCAATGTATCATGAAATATTTACTTAGTGCCTTGAGTCAGGATCAATCCTATTAGGCTTTTTTTGGAGAGAGGGAGTAGCCAAGACCTAAGGGCCTAAAAATTCCACCTGACCTTCTGGGAATTCGCACACCAGTTTGAGGGAGGGTCTTCTACCCTGCCCACAAATGCTTTATGCTCTGAGCCCAAAGCCAGGCCTGCATTGCTCTCATAGGAGAAAATGGTAATAAATACTTTTTCCCTAAAGGCAGCCTTTTGAAGAGCTCTATCTTACCTTGCACTGGGAGGCAACAGAGATAGGCTGTATGCCAACTACTTCAGCACTCCCCCTAGAAAGGCCAATTCTCCTCTCTCTGCATCACTTTTTCTTCTCTGTGAAAAAGGGAGAATCATCCCTGCTGGCTTCCTACTATCTAGAGATATGTTGACGAACGAGAGGGGATCTGGAGGTTGCTTTGAGATCTTTAGGGAAAGGCATCATATTAGGATATTCCTTGTAACCCTCATCCTTTGTCTCCTCTCCCCCTGCTCCATGGCACTCCTCTGGGGTCCTCTCCAGGAATTCCGGTTGCTCATGGCCAGTACCTCTGCCTGCTACAAACTCTTCCGGGAAAAGCAGAAAGAGGGCCATGGAGAAGCTATCTTGTTCAAAGGTAAGTGACCCCAGAGCCCTGGAGGGAGGACAGGAGCCTATGCTAGGGGATGAGAGGGAGCACCTGGGTGGAATTTCTAAGTTCTCCAGTGCTCTAGGCACTATGGCACCCCCTAGCTGCCAAGTCTCTTTACCTTAAAGGTAGGCATGTATGCATTTATAAGCATAGCTATGCAGCCATATCAGTTTGTAGTACTATTGGAAGAAAAAATCATACTTTTGGGGGGTCAAAGGGCCTGGTTCCCAAAGCCAGAGCACATTAGAGGGGTCTCTCCTGTATTTTGAGTGCATCAGAAAGGCTACAGAAATGTGATGTAGAGGGACAGCTACATACCTCCAGGGGAAAGAGATTTGGAGACATCTCAGATACCATGTTCTCTGCCCTCATCAGACATCCCTGGCCGGCTCTTCTTCCACTGAATCATAGACTGTAGGACCAGAAAGGACTTTCAAGATCATCCATCCCAACTCCCTCACCTCACAGGTGGGGGAACTGGGACCCAGGGAGGTGAAGCCAGTACTCCATGCCACTCAAGTAGTCAACAGCAGTGGTGATGGTGGTGACGATGATGATGATGATGATAATGGTGATGATGGTGATGATGGTGATGATGATGATAATGGTGATGATGGTGATGATGGTGATGATGATGATGATGATGGTGATAATGATGATGATGATGGTGGTGATGGTGATTATGATGGTGATGATGGTGATAATGATGATGATGATGATGATGATGATGATGATGATGATGATGATTTTAATCTGGCATTTTTAAATGCTCTAAGCTATGTACTTTACATATGTTATTTCATTTGCTCCTCAAAAGAACCCTGTAAGGTAGGAGCAATTATTGTTCCCATTTTATAGATCAGGGAACTGAGGCTAAGAGAGGTTACTGGCTTGCCCAAGACCACACAGCCTAGTAAGTGCTTGAGGCAGGATTCAAACTCAGGTCTTCCTGACTTTTAGTCTAGTACTCTACTCCCTTAGCTGTTAAGATCACAGGGAACAACCTAGGTTTCCCAGACTGTGCCAGGAGCCTTGGGCTGTGACTATCCTGTCCTTTCCCCTCTGCAGGCTTGGGGGGCATGAGCAACAAACGAATTACCATCAATAAGATCCTGTCCAATGAGAATCTGGTGCAGCAGAACCTGTATGCCCAGGTAAGGGCAGAGCCTGGGGCCTGGCGGAGCAGGAGGGGCACCGCCCTGCTGGATCTCTCTAAGGGCCAGCCCCAGATCCTATGGCTTTATCCCTCAGGAATGGCATGGGGAATAGGCTAATTTCAGTTATATTAAATTTAAAAAAGATTTGCACATGTGAAGTCAGTGAAAATAGAATAAAAAGAGAACCCAAATAGTGAGAGGGTGGGGCAGAGAATACCTGCATCACTGATAAAAGTCTGAGATCCAGTGTAGGTGGGGAATGAACACAAGTATAGCACCAGCAGCTGCTCCCCAGTAGAGAGGTGCTCAAAGGATATGAACTGTTATCCAAAGGGGGGACTTGGGGACAAAGAAGCCCCTGTGGGCATAGGGACTGTGAGTGCTCAGGGCTTTGCCCAAATCATGCCAGCTTATCAGGAAAGTGAAAGTGAAGAGTAATACAAGCATGCCTTAGTCCATGGAGGGCTGGGAACATATTGGAAGCAGGCAGGGGTACCCTTGTAAGAAGCACCATATATCACAGGGGAGTCAAAGTCACTCTTAGGGCTGTGCCAGGGACCACATCCTGATGTGAGAAACAGTTGACGGGAACCATACTTAGTCAAGGTGTACCAAAAGTCTTAGTACAGCTTCAAACTATCAAACCTCATGTTCATTTACATACCTTTGCATGGATGGTACAGTTTCCCAAGTTAACTTCGTTATGACTACCTGAAGACTCTCATTTCTTTTTTTTAATTTGATTTTATTTTGATTCTCATGTCTTTTAAGAATTTATTGATTCATTTTGATGTTACATGATAAATACTTCACAATAAACACAATACCCCAAACAATCACAACAGTATATTCCCTGATGAAACAGTTAGCATATTGATTATTAGCAGAGGGGGAGAGAAAGAGATAGAAACAAAGAGAGAGACACACACACAGAGACAGAGACAGAGACAGACAGACAGAGACACACAGAGGGAAACAGAGAGATTTAAAGCTGCCATTTCTTGGTTTGGTTTTCTCTCTTCCTTCTCATTCCCAGGTGAGAGTGAAGGCAAGTCAGAAAGAAGAGAGTCATTAAAGACAATACTGGGGTCCCAGTGGCCCTTAAACTATTATTTGGGGATACTTGTTAGAGGTTGGATCATGGAAAGATTGTGATCATAGGATCCTAAATCCAAAGCCAGAAGGGACCAACGAGTCCAACCCCTTCATTTTATAGATCAGGAAACTGAGTCCCAGAGAGGGGACGTGGCTCTAGATATACTCAGAGATGAGTACTGCCAGTATCCCAATGCTGTCGAGATATATTTTAACCTTGTTTTCTCCCCCCTTCCCCAATTTTTCCTCAGCGCTGCCTGGATTGGAACCGGGACATCCTGAAAAAGGAACTAGGGTTGACAGAGAAAGATATCATTGATCTCCCAGCTCTGTTCAAGTTGAATGAAGAAGGTCAAGCCATGGCTTATTTCCCCAACATGGTAAGCAGCTCAATCCCCTTCCTCATCACCCCCTCCAAACCACTAGAAATGTGAAGACATTGATCAGAATTCATAGATTCATGGAACTTCTGAGGTCATCTAGACCAAACCCCCTCATTTTATAGATGAAAAAACTGAGGCCAGAAATATTAGATGACTTGGCCATGGTCACACCTTTCGTAAGCGGTGGAGCTGAGATTCAAACCCAGGTCTTCTAATTCCAATCCAGGACTCCCACCCAGTCAACACAATGGGTCAGATGTGATCCCAAGAGAGATGTATTCCTCCACCCTTGTCTAGATCATGACTTGGCTACTTGGGCAATCCAAGTTTCTAGTTAGCCCAGCTTCCTAATAACTCGTTGTATTATAGTAACTCACTAGTGACTAGCAAGCTACTAGCTGGCCTTTATATAACATATATATATATAGATAGATATCTATATTAAGGTTTGCAAAATTCTTTGCATATCTTAACTCATTTGCTGCTCCCAACCACCCTGTAGTTATTATTATTATTAATATCATTAGAAATAATAATACCCATTGATGTAATAATGTTATTATAGTATTATTAATACCCATTAATATCCATTTTACAAATGAGGAAACTGAGGCTGAGAGATGTTAAGCAACTTGCCCACTCAGCTCGTAAGCATCTGAGGCAGGATTAGAACTCATGTCTTCCTGACTCCAGATCCAGAGTTATCCACTGTGCCCCTTAGCTGCTTCTTAGCCTCTGTTGACCTTACCTTCCTTCCAGAGATAATAACAACTGCATTTCCTGCTGTGAGTATCTGAGAATAAGAGCTAACTCTTCCTTTTAGAGAACTTTAATAAAATGATATTTTATTAAAATAATTTAAAATATTCATTAAAATAATTTTTAAAAATAATAAACATTTTCCTCACAACCCTGTTAGTGAAGAAGTGCCCAAATACTGTTCCATTTTACAGATGAAAACACTGAGGTTGAAAGACAAAGTCAATGTATTTTTTTATTTAAAGGCATCACAAAAAAAGGAGTTTATTAAGTACCTACTGTGTGCCAGGCACCATGCTAAGGACTGGAAACAGGCAAAAAGACACTCTGAAAGAAGTCTTGGACTAATGAAAATGAAAACAACTATGTAAAAAAAAGATATAGATACAGATAGATTGTGTCTATTGCACGCATATGTGTGTGCGTGCGTGTGTGTGTGTGTGCGTGTGTAGAGAAAGAGAAAGAGATACAAAGATACAAAGAGATTAGAAATATAGAGAAATATAGATTGTGTCTATGTGTGTATATATAGTGACACTATAAAGTCATGTATATGTATAATATTTTGTATAATTACTATGTAATTATATGATATATTATTACATATGCATATAATTGGAAAGCATAAAAAAGAGATACAACACTAGCATTAAGGGGCTTCAGGAAAAACTTCCTGTAAAAAGTGGGATTTTATCTGGGATGTGAAGCCAGGGAAGCCAGGAGCCAGAGATGAGGGAGAAGCATTCCAGGTATGAGGGGCAGCCAGAGAAAATGCCCAGAGACAGGAGATGGAGTGTTGATTGTGAGAAACAGCCAGGTGACCGGCACCACTGATGGGGAAGGGGGGAGAGTATAACCTGTAAGATGCCTGGGAAGGTGGGCGTTGGAGGGAGAGGTTATGGAGGGCTTTAAAAACCAGAGAATTTCATGTTTGATAACGGAGACGATCAGGTGCCACTAGACACAGGGGTAAGGAACCTGTGGCCTCGGGGCCACATGTGACCTTCTAGGTCCTCAGGTACAGCCTTTTGACTGAGTCCAGGTTTTACAGAAGAAATCTTTTATTAAGGGGATTTTATTCTTCTAAATTTGGATTCAGTCAAAGGGCCACACTTGAGGACCTAGAGGGTCACATGTGGCCTCGAGGCCACAGGTTCCTTACCCCTGCAATTAAATTGGGGAGTAGTGAGATGCACTGAGCTGCCTTTGAGCTAAAATATGCCCGTAACATTGAAATGCCCCTTTATTACTCCCCTGATCCCAGACTTCTCTGACTCCCATACCTGTATGGGAGATTCTGATACTTGAATCATGGTACTTGGCTAGGAAATGCTAGTTTTGTTAAATGGTCTCTTCTCTCACCTTTTAAATCATGGCTTTCTAGTAACTTTTGACACGGGTGACATGGTCAGACCTGTACTTTAGGAAGATCAACAACAATTCACATTCCTGTATTATTTTAGGCTTTCCTTTCCTCCCAACCGCGTGATATAGGTAGCATATTATCCTCAGATCACAGATGAGCTTAAAAAAAAGGAGGCATTCTCGTGGGGATACTGAAAAGTATAAGATGAGAGGAGAGAGAATTGAATTTACTCATTGTAGAGAGGTTAAGTAATTTGCTTAAGGTCACAAAGCCAGTTAATGGCAGAGCTCAATACTTCACACCGTTATTGAAGATCCTGATCAATGGAGGCTCTGAAATACAGGGCAGGAGCTCAAGTCTACAGGCAACTTCAGACGACATCCAGGCCCCCCCGTCCAAGAAAAGAAGGGAGCCCTTTCCTCAGTGTCCCTAACAAATGGTCCTCCTGCCCACCTCTGAAGACCTCCCATCCTCTGCCCGTACCTTCTATCCTACCTCAGCCCTATGCCATCTCCCATGGTTCTGTGCCCTCATTGCTCAGCCCAGCATGGCACTCTGGTAGTGAAGTTGACCATGATGACAACTAACATTTACATGGTGCTTTAATCTTTGCAATACCCTTCATAGATATCATCTCGTTTTCTCCTCACAACAACCCTGGGTGCTATTATTATCCATATTTTACATATGAGGAAACTGAGGCAGACACAGGTTAAGTGACTTGTTCAGTATCACACAACCAGTAAATGTCTCAAGCTGGATTTGAACTCAGGTCTTCCTTTAGGCATAAGTCTATCTAGATTGGCCTCTTGAAGCAGTTGTCCAGTGTAGAAGAAAGAAAGGGAGGAGAATCAGGGGAGGGATTTGTTTCTGCCCTCTCCTGGTCTGTGGTGCCAGTTCTCACCCTTGCCATTCAATGTTTGATAGAGGACTAAGGGTTTGTGCCCATGGCCTGGAATGGAACCTGTTTCATTGATTAATGAGGCACTATGGTAGCAATCAAAAGGGAACTGGTTCTGGAGTCTGAGGAGCAGGGTTCTCTTTGTAGAATGAGGGAATTGGAGTAGGTGCCTCTGAGATGCTGTCCAGTCCTGAAGTTATGATTCTACAATCATTATCAAGGGGAAGATGAGGGGAAGGGAAGGCATGATGACCTGGCCTCCTGGGGAAGAGCCTCCAGCTGTCTGGGAGACAAGCTTCCATCTTGTCACCGCCACCATATTCTCGACCTCTCAGATTGGCCCAGAAATCTGACCTATTCATTTGCCAAGTGCTTTGCCAACCTTACAATGCCATAGAAATGCTATCATTATTATCATAGCTTCTGTTTTCTGGATCATCTGAGTAAACAATGATAACTCCAGTTTCTTTGGTGCGTGGAGACTCATAAAGTGCTTGTCTCACAACAATCCTTTGAGAGAGACAATGGGTACTGGATTTTTAGTCAGAAGGCCTGGATTCAAATGCTGCCTTTAACTACTTGTGTGACCTTAGGCAAGACATTGAATTTTTTCTGGGCCACTGTGAAATCAGTGGTCTGGATTAGATGACCCTTCTTATTCTAAAACCCCACTATTTCCTATTGCCAGCCTAGTCTTACAGATGAGGAAACTGAGGCTTAGAAAAAATTGACTTCTCTGATCCCATATCTATTAAGTTTAAGATGCAGTGGATAGAGCACCAACCCTGGAGTTAAGAGGACCTGAGTTCAAATCTGGCCTCAGACTCTTACTAGCTATATGACCTTGGGCAAGTCACTTAACCTCAATTGCCTTTAAAAAAAAAAAAAAGTTTAAGAATTGGAACTACTAGCCAGATCTCCAAGTCCAGTCCTTATTCCACTACTGACATCCACCTTTGCTCCTTCCATAGGGCTACACCAGTGCCCTCAGACAAGCCTTCTCCCCCTACATACAATAAACATGTACCTCCCTCTTCCCTACAGGTGAACATGATTGTGCTTGACAAGGACCTGGGTGTCCCCAAACCCTTTGGGCCCCTGATCGACGAGCAGTGCTGCCTGGAAGCTCACGTGTGCTCACTTCTGCAGCCCCTGGGTTTCTCCTGTACCTTCATCGATGATATTTCCTCCTATCACAAATTAATGGGGGAGGTCCACTGTGGTACCAATGTCTGCCGGAAGCCCTTTGCCTTCAAGTGGTGGCACGTGGTGCCTTGACTCCATGGGCAGGCTTGGCATCCCCTTCCCTCATTCCCTCCACCTTCCCCTTACCTCTTCCCATATTCCCAGGTCCAACACCTTCTTGGAAATTGCTTTTATTTCCTTGGGCTGGGTCCATTTTTATGTCTGCGTGGGGTTGGGGTGGAGTCTGGAAAAAAAACTATATGTGACATGTCTTGCCCCTCACCCCTAAGGTTCTAGAGTGCACTCAAATTCACATGCAACAGTCTCAAGGTCTCCCAAACCACCTTCTCTCCTTGGGCAAATGGAAGGGGGAGGTCAATTCTTTTGTGGACAAGAGAAGGCCTGAGGGACACCAGAGTCAATCTGACTGGCCCACAAGCCCCATTTAGGATTCACCTCTCAAGGGGATGATGCCTCTAGCTTCTCTATGGATGCCCTCAGTCACTTCATTCCTCACCAGCCCTCCTCACACTTGTCCCTGGCTTTCTCCTCAGAGGATCCAGGCACACCCTTTAATATCTATCCGTCCTGCCCCACATCAGATACCAGCTGCAGTGGGTCAGCTGCCCAGTCCCAGGCTAACTCCAGGCCTAGAGGACTACATGGATTGGTAGGGAGGGGGATGGAATAGACACAACACATCCTTGCCCTGCTTGGGGATATCAGCCCAAGAATCCACTGCCATTTTTAATTAGGCTGATTGCCCCTCTGTGCCTTTTTTCTGGAGTGAAGCCAAGGTTAGGACCAGGGGGTGGGAAAGGTCCTTCTCTCTCCTCAAAGGTTCCATGGTTCCCACCATGTTGGGTCCAACCCTGGAGATGGGATCAAACAGCTAGTGTATTTTCCAGTTTCTGGTAATAGCTTTCCAAGTCAGGAGGATTAGATGGCCAATAGCATTTCTCCCCAGAGAAGGAAAAGATCCAGTGTTCTTATCACTACCTTTAAGTAATAGAAATATCACTCAGAGTTTGTGACTGGGGCTCCAGAGGATGTGAGTTCAAATCCTACCTTTGACACCTACCAACTGGGTGACCTTGGGCACATCACTTAACGATCTCTCTGGGCTTCCATAAAAATGAGGTGGTTGGACCAGCTGGCCTCTGAAGACTCTTCCAACTCAACATCTAGCATCCTATGATCTCCAATTCCAACTCTACTCTCCCCCCCCCACCCTTCTGTGAAGCTTATTAAGAGCGAGATCCCAAGGCTGTTTCCCCAAGAGTCCAGGGATAGTACTTGGGACCTTTTCTTAAAACACTTCCTACAGAATGGTCCTCTTTCTCCAAGAGGTCTGCCTGGAGTGGGATTCCTGCCCCACTTTCTTACAGAAATTGTTTTACAGAAATGCATTGGCATTCTTCCCCAGCTCCATGCCCTGCTCCCACCCCATCAAGAAATGAAAAGTATTCAACTAAATGAGGCACTCACAACCTCAAAGTATAGATAGGACAACTTTCCGTGCACCCCTGGCCTTTCCCTTCTCCCTTCTTTCCCTTTCCTGTTTTCCATTAGCTCCACCCAACAAGTATTTACTAAAGACCTACTATGTGCAAGGCACTGAATAGCATATAAAATACAAAAACAAAACCAGTCCTGCCCTCAGGGAGCTTGCATTCTCCTGGAATAAAGACTCCCTGGGGCCATTTCTCTGGGGCTACAGAAACTAAGCATAACTTTAGTCACTTTGGTCATCCAGACCAGATCCTCCTATGGCATCTTGCACCGGAAGGAGTTTAAGCAATTCCCTGGAGTGAAATTAATTCCTAGAACTGAAGGAACCACCATAGAAATGTGTTGATCGTCCACTGGCCCTATGTGACTCCACTTAGTGAAAAACTGAACTGATAATAATGGCATTGATAGTTCGCTAAATGGAATTTCTCTGCCCTAAGGTGTTAGTGTTTCTTGGGCACTGGTTGAATAGGATTTGGTAGAGTACTTATTCAGAAAAGTTCTTTCCCCCTTTTATTCTGTTTCCCCTTCTGCTTAAGAATAAATTGGCAGCCAGATCCTTCTTTCCCAACAGAAGCGTGGCATGGGCTGAGTAATCAGAGTTCTGCTCAAGGGTGGAAAAATTTAAGAGGGTGCCAACAACCTTCCAGAGTCCATCTCTGCCCCCTCCATCCCCTTCATTGTGGTCTTGTCCTCAAGTGGGCTTCCTCTCCCTTGAATAGCTTAGACACGTCTCAGTGGTCCAGGTTCCACTCCCGAGACCTCTCAAATGAGCCTGCCGAGCTCCACTTTCCCCTGACTTTTGTCCCTTACCCCAGGTGCAAATCACAGCTGCTGCTGCAGGCTTGGAACAAGCTCATCAACCCCGTGTCTTGTCGTTAGCCTGCAGAACCCAGCCCCAGACCAGCTGATGGTACATGGCCATGATTCATACCTCACCACAGTGATTGTTTGGAGCCAGCTCTCAAAACGGCATTTTAAACAGCATTTCTATGAATAGAGGTGTCTTGGAGGGGTGAGTTGATTTGCCAGTGGGCTGAATATATCGCTGCTCCACTTCAGAGATTGAAAAAACACCAGCATGGTTCAAGAATGGTTACACATTTGAATTTCAAGGAAGAGGGATATTTGGTTGGCTCATGTGGTCCTTATTCTCTGATTCACCACACACATTTCTGTTTCCAGATGGCATCATTGAACATGTTAGTGGGCAATACTTCAGGATGCCCAGTGCCTGCATGGTCCACTGTGAGTCAATGTGTTCAGTGGCCTAGAGTGGAGCAGGGGAATCCCTCATAAACTACCTTCCCTTGACAACATAATGTAATAGAAGAAAAAAATCAAATCTGGAGCTCAGGGGGTCTGGGCTCCAATCCCAGTTTTGTTCCCTATCCCTGTGACCCTAGACAAAGGTCAGCCTCTGGAGACAGCGTGGCACAAAGGGAGTCAAAGGGCCCGGGTTCAAATCCTACTTGTCCCTTGCTACCTCTGTGACCTAGGCTGACTCAGTTCCAACTTCTCTCTAAAATGAGGAAGTTTGACTCAATGACCTGTAATTTCCCAGCTTTAAATCTATCATTCTCCAATCCCATGACCTCCCTGGACTTGCTCAGACTCCTCAGGTCTGACCTCTTAAAAATTAAGAAGTCAGACTAGTCACAGGGGCTCTTAACCTTTCTGCATGTCCTGGACCCCTCTGGCAATCAGTCTGGTGAAGCCCATGTATCCCTTCTTAGAAGAATATTTCAAATGCATAAAATAAGATACAGAGGAATTACAAAGAATGCCAGTAAGATAGAAATATAGTTATCAAAGTATTTTTTTAAAACAAGTTCACAGACCCCAGGTGAAGAGCCCCCAAATTGAGTGATTTCTAAGTTCCCAACTCCAGAAATAAATCCTGCAATGTTTTGTGAAGTTTTTTGGCCTGGGCCAGCATCACCATGCAGACAAAGCCCTGAGAGCTGTCAGAAATGATCATCTTTGCTATGGGGGTGATGGGCCTGAATCCCTTTGGGATGCTGAAATGTAAGCTCTCCCATGATGCCTCATCTATTTCTGTCCCCGCATGCCAAGTGCTTATAGGTTTTTTGGTTTTTTTTTTTTGGAGAGAGCTTCAGGATGCCACGCCATGTGTGTGGGTTTGTGTGTTTTTGTTTTGTGTGTTTTTGACTCCCAGCTTGATGAGACATTCACTCCTACATGTAGGATGGATTTTTCTAAGGCTTTTTTGCAACCTGTAAAACACAAAGTCAGTTGCATTGCTGACCCAGCATCAGGGGGAACCTCTCATCCATTTATCTGGGGGCAGTGACCCCCAGTGAATCCTGAGGCTACCAGGGTTAGACAGCCTAGGAAGTCAGTGAGACACCTGAGTGGCCCAGATAGGAGGCTGATCAGTGCCCAGATTTAGGCCTACAAAGACTTGGTGGTGGTGGGCCTTAAAAAACACTTCCTGTCTCTGAGTTACGTTGGAGTTTTATTGTAGTTGTGAGAAGGACAAAAGGCAATTTAACTCTTTCCTGGAAGCCTCTGGATGATGAAAAATATCTGGGGGGAAGCCTACTTTGGCTCATGGTGCCTCTGACTAAACAAATAAAATCAAAGTAATGCAACACAAGAAAATGTAATGAGTGAAATTCATTCTTTCTTTTTAGCTATCTTTACTAATGCCTTTTGTTTTTAGGTCACATTTTTGAATATACCATCCCACCCCTGCATAGCCCCTACTCCACCCCAAATTGAAATCTCCCTTGTAACAAAGAAAAAGTTATGTGAAACTAATCAGAACAGTGGTTGTACCCGTGTATGCAGCACTCTATATCCATAAGCCCCCGCCTCTCTTCTGAGAAAAGAGGACACTCATTCTTTAGAAGCTTCCTTTGCAGAGATAGAAGTACCACAAACCAGGCAGCCCCAGGACCTAGGCAAGGGGGGGCAGTGCTGGGATGATGAGAAGACCCCTTTGTAAAGTGTGATTTAGGGGTCTAGAATTCAACAGTCCAAGAATTTACTGTGTGTAAGGCATTGTGCTGGCAACACAAAGATATAGAATGAAAAGCAGTTTCTTCCTTCAAGGAACTTATATACTGGTTGGGGAGAGGGTAGGGAAGGGGGTTGAAGGTATACAACATGTATGTGGTTAAGATATGACAATTTGCGAAGAAAGCATTGGTAATTGAGGGATCGAGGAAAGATGTCAAAATATGACATGTCCATATAAAATCTCTGGCATCCCTCCCTCTGAGCTCATATGGATCAGATCAGATCTTGAGGGTAACTGACTCATAATATTCTGAGAAAATTTTGGAATACAGGTCTCAGTTTCTATAGATATGAGTCAAAAAAGGGGACCTTTAGATCCCATACAAGCACTCAAGGTAATACGCATTTATAGGGTACTGGAAGTTTTTATTTAATCCCACAAATTATGTGGAAACACCAAGGATTCCCAGTAACCCATAAGCAACACAGAAACCATGTTAAGACACTTACAACAAACCATATACCACACATTTCTTCCTTAATGGCATTTATCATTTTAATACAGGGTCCTAAAATCCTCTAGATTTTAGTATCATCATGTGGTTAGAAATTCCCTCAGAAAACAACTGAGGTTGGGGATGTCAATGGGCCAAAGACATCACGCCTGCCCCCACGCTCTAGTGAGTCCTTCTTTCCCAGAAGATAAAGTACCTTCCCACATCAAACATGTAGTGCCCCCTACATAGTTTGGACTCTCCACAAAAAGGAAATAAACATGCTTGTGGCTGCTAAAAGTCAACTTCCTAATATCCAGTGAGTTTCTCTTTCACTCCACACTCATCCTCTGAATGTGTGACCTCCTCCAGGAAAGATCTGAATTGAGGGAAGGGCTTCTTCTTCTTTTTTTTTTTTTTTTTACTATTTTTGTTTTTTGGCAAGGCAATTGAGGTTAAGTGACTTGCCCAGAGTCACACAGGAAGGGCTTCTTTTTTGACAAGAACTACCGAAAAACCTGAAAAGCAAGTTGGCAGGATTTAGATTTAGATTAATATCATACACTGTATAACATAATGAATTCAGAATAGATAAGATACCTGAAAGGCCAGATCATTTCAAAATGACAGGAGAATGGAAGGAAGTGCTTTTCACAACTGTGAGTAAAGGGAAAATTCTTGATTAAACAAGGTCTAGATAAAGGAGATTATAAAAGACAAAATCATTTTGATTACAAAAATTCAAAAAGCTTTTGCACAAAGAACGGTTAGAACGAGATACAGATGAAAGTAACTCTGAAGTTCCACCTCCCACCCGCCAGAGATGGCACAAAAGGCAAATGTTGGAGGGGCTACAGGAAAACGGGTCCATTAATGCACAGCTGGTGACACTCTGAAATGATACAGCTGTTGTGCAGTTCTTACGATGCTTCTTAGAGGAGAAGACGCCCACGGCCAGGAGAGAATGAGCCCAAGCCATGCCCTGGCTTTCCGGAAGACCTGAACCTCGAAGAAGATATTCACACAGGACTGAACTTAGGTAAAGGCCAAGAGACTGTTCAGCCTTCCCACAAAATGTTTCATGGTTTTTTAATACGGTTTTACATATCAACCTCCCAGGAGAAGAAAATAGTAGTTAGGGCTTACTGTTTCGTGTTTTGTCTTTGTCAATGTGCATTTCTGAGGTAGCCTGCTAGGTAGCTTGATAGAGAGCATAATGACCTGAGTTCAAATCCTGCCCAAGACACCTATTAGCTGTGTGACCTTGAGCAAATCCCTTGACCTCTCTCAACTTCAGGAATACACCTGTAAAGAAGGGCAGAGAGGTGTTGCAGTGAATAGAGCACTGGGCCTAGAGACAGGAAGTAAGGAGGACATGAGTTCAAATCTGACCTCAGACACTTTACTAGCTGTGTGGCCCTGGGCAAGTCACTTTACCCTGTTTGCCTCAGTTTCTTTATCTGTAAAAGAGCCGCAGAAGGAAATGACAAACCACTCCAGTATCTTTGCCAAAAAAGCCCCAAAAAGAGTCACAAAGAGGCAGACACAACTGAAACGACACAACAAATACATATAATATATAAGGTGTCTAGATATACACAGGGC